TTACACAGACACAGTTGTTCTTTCTCTTCCTTTTTTTTTTTTTGGTGGAAGTTAACGGTGCCAATCCCTCATGCAAAGAGCATGAGTACATGGAAATGGTTGTTCCTTAAAAAAGTTATATAAAATACAATTTTGTTGATTAACTCGCCAACCAAATTATAACAAATACGTAAGAAAAAATTAATTGTGAAAACAAACTTTTTTCATATATGCTAAAATAGATATAAACTTTTTTTTTCGGAATTAGAAAAAATCGTTTTTTTTTTTTAAATATAAGGAACCTCCAAAAAAAAAAAAAAAAAATCGTTTTTCTTCTACAATTAGTTCCTCTCTCTTACTTGAAATCTCTTCTCTACTTCTTTTTTTTTCTTTTTTATGAAAATTAATATAATCTTACCAAATACTTAATGGATTCGAAGCGCGTACAACGATCCCCATTATCTTTAGTGCTTTATTCTTCCTTTATAATAATACCCAACTTTTGGGCCATCTTATTCCCTACATTAATCTGAGTTTCACACAACTCAATAGTATATTGTCTCCTTGTGGACTGGCCCTTCATTAGAAAGCGAAGCATCCTCTTTTTTCTTTTCTTTTTGGTTGTGTGGGACACTGGACTTTAAGTCTTTAATCTCTTGTCTGGAATGAAGATTAAAGAATTTAAAATGTCACTATCAAATAAAAGACTAACCAACCCTACCAAAAGATAGACATAACGAACAACTAACACTATGAGGATGGGAATTAATTCTTCACTGCCGACGTTGAATTGTTTTTTTAACGAGAAAAGTAATCAGAGACCTATTCACTCTTTATATTAAAAACTTTTGTTAAAAACTGTATAATTATCTTTCATTAAGTGTCGAATTGATTGCCCGCCAAAAATATGCTATATATACAGTGCAAGCATTTCTTACACCATGACATAATCTATAATGGGGATGGTAAATTTTTTACTTTCTCAAACTTAAATTAATCTATTAAGTCGGTAACTTTGATAACTATATCCTAATAATTAAAATGTCTTGCGATCTGCTTCGAATTTGGGATTAATTCCATAGTACGCTCAAAGAGTTAAAACCGTGGCAATACTCGAAAAATCCTACTCGTCTCAAAGAAATAATTGGGGTTGATATAAAAAATAAAATAAAAATTTCAGTCTCTTCATCTGCTCTATTTGATTATACCTTCACAAGAATCACAACCAGGAGATTTGGATATTCAACAACAGACCTATTAAGAATTGATTCTAGTTTATTTTGCCAAGTATTATAAAATTGTAGGTTCTTCGGAGAATTATTCATCTATACTATCGAAGCTGCGAGGGGAAGGCATAAGTTTTAAGCCTTATATCTATGGAGCATGTTATATTTACCAACTTTTTTTGTTTACAAACTCTTAAAAATTACATTATTTTCTCTCGAGAACAATAGGTTTCACTATATTCTCCAAGGAGAAGATAATGTAATTTATAAAAATTTATGGAAAAAATTATTAACGGATCATTCCCCTATATTTATTACTAGTTTTTGATGCGAATACATCCTTATTTTCTTTGATTTGCTCTTCTTAAAGAATTTTGTGTAAGATTTGTATATAAAGTAAGAGAAATATGTATATTGGGGTTGATTAATCAATTTTTATTTTTTGTAAAAAAAATTCATTTTATTCTACTTTGTAAATTATATATCAATCTATCGTCATTTTATCAAAGTGGAACGAAGTGGTTCATCTTAAAGTCGAACATTTTATATGCCATGACTTCATTTGCAATTATTTGAAGGGTTTGCTTTTTATGTGGTCAAAATAGATAATTCAAATCATGGTATTTTTGTAATTATAATTTATTTCAGAATTATAATAGTCTTTCTCATTATAACTTTTTAATCTTTCAATCTAAAATGACGTCGTTTTGGGAGTGAAGGTAGATAACTTTTCTACAGTGACTGTAGAAACATTAAATCCTTATTTGAATAAATGAAATATTTATTAGTAAAATATTCACTGGAATTAATTGCTCATTTATTTGAATAAATACTGGATAGAGGACATAAATTAATAAAATTAACCAAATTGACATTAAATTAACATTAATTAGAAATTAGTATAAATTAGAAACTATCATTAAATTTATTAGGTAAAATAATATTTAATATTTTCAATAATTCTAAATTGTCCCGCGCAATCCTTTTGAATCCCAAAATAATTAAAAAACAAAAAATTTATTATTTATAATGATAATTTAACTATTGATTTTTCCCCCTTCGTCTGAAAAATTCAATTTTTTTAGACAAATAAGGAAATAAAAAGTAAAATAAATAATTATATTATTATCATTAATAATAAATTTGATATTTTAAAATTGTTGGGATTTTAAAATATAATTCTCTGGTGATATTTTGAAATTCTTTCAAATTGAAAAATGTTAAATTTATTATTAATTAATAATGATAATTTGAGTATTTATTTTATTCTATTCGTCTATAAAATCTGATCCATCGATTCTTTTTTGGAAAAGAAAAAGAAAATCAACAATCAAATTATTATTATTGATAATAATTTTGTTATTTTTGAATTTGTAGAGATTTAAAAATATAATTGTCATTTATACAGTGATATTTTAAAATCTCTGCAAATTTATAAATGTCAAATTTATTATGAATAATAACAATATGATTGTTGATTTTTTTTTTCTTTTTCTTTAGTCGTCAAAATAAAAGAATCGAGTGGATTGAATATTTTGGACAAACAAGAAAAAATCAGTTGTTAAATTATCATTATTAATAGTAAATTTGACATTTTTAAACTTTCAAGGATTCCAAAATATTGCACTATACAATTGAGAATTATTGATGGTTTTAAATATTATATAATAATTTTCAAATAATATTAATTATTAATTTAATGTCAATTTGGTGAATCAATACGGAGGACCCATCATTTACTGGGATAAATTATCGATTTATTCAATTAAATTATTTACCCAAGCAAATGTTACATTCAATGAACTTCTACCAAATGTAACAGGTTGGTATATAATTTGAAAATGTGGTAGATTAATATTTTTAAAAAAAGGCAGTTTGGTCCATCAATGTATTGTTAATATAAGTACTACATATTAGGGTTAAAGTGTACTTACAGGGATAGTGTATATATATATATATATATATATATATATATATATATATATATATATATATATATATTATTAAGTGTATTGTTAATTTGGTCCATTTCTTATTCTTACAACTATGTAAGAATAATCTGCCCCAATTAAATATATGTGTGGAGCACAATAAATAAAACTTAAAAGTAACCCAATTTAATTTAAAATGGTTGTTATTGCTTTATGGAGGGGAAAGATGATATATTTTCATTGCTTTTTATATATACGACCGTATCATTTTAATTGATTTTTTTTTATATAAAAGAGCATAATCACATAGAAGATTTAACTCATAATAAGGCACATATTTTACTGGAGCGTATCAAGATGATGCAATTTTTTGACAGTTAAATTATATTTATTATTTATCATGTTATAGAAGGTAATTTTATTTTATACATACACATAAAAATGTGTGGGGTTCATATTTTTTCTTTTTCTTTTCTCTTTACATGGGTTCATATGGGTTCCACACACTTTTATGTGTTTGTAGAAGAAAAATTTATCTTTTACGATATAAAAAACAATAAACAAATAAAGTATTTATGCCTTATTATAGAAGAAGAAAGTAAAAATAGATTAAATTATATGGGAAAAAAAAACTAACGAAGAAAGAACAAGTGAAAATATTAAAAGAACTTTTTATGCATTACTTTATTTAAAAGATAAGATTATTTTATGTATGATCTGAAAATTATTTTTACATAAAAAAGTTGTTTGGATACTAAAAAAGAAGAAGCATTTTTTATATATAAAATTATAATAAATGAGAGATAAAATAACATGTTCGTGGATAAGGAGAGATAAAATAGATATGATAGAATAAAGTTAAAATTATATTTTAAAAATTTATATTATCTTTTAATTTCTGCTTTTTTGAAAAGCAACCAACTAGTGGATAAAAAATAAAACAACATTTTAAATTTTTATTTTATTTTTTATTTTTTTTAAAAGTTTTTATCCAAACATCTAAAAATTTTCAAAAAAAAAATTATTTTTAAAAAAATAACTTTTTAAGAAATAAAAGTCCACATCTAAACGGGCACTAAAAAATCATTGAAAAATTGAGAGAGTTTGATTACGTGGTGAAAAAAAGATTTGGCGGGGGAGATATGGGGCCCCATTAACGGTCAACCTATCGTTCAAATGGAGCGTCAATGTCTCAGACGAATCCATTCCATGTATCATGTATGCATTCCCCTATTCCTTCCATCAAATCTTTTTATTTAATAATTAATTAATTTCAAATATTACCAATTAAATTTTACAATACTATATTCACATCAGAGAGCAATTAAATTAAATTAATTTATTAAATTCCATAAAACAACTTGAAAGTGAGATTTTGTAGACGATGGTTTTGCCGCAACCCGGGAAAATATTTAAAAAAATGAAGTGTAATATCGAAATTAAATTAAATTAAATATCGAAATAATATATAAATTTATATTTAAAAAAAAAAAACAGAGATTTGAAATCGGTTAGTTGTTGAGAGAGAGAGAGAGAGAGAGAGAGGAACAGTGTAAATGGAAGGAAAGATCCTTAATCAAAAATGAATAATACTAAAAAAGAAATTCCTGATTTTTGGGGTGAGAGTGAGCAGCGATTGATTGATTACGCTTGTCTCGGTTTCCTCTTTCCGTTTCCATCATTCTTCTCTCTCTTTCTCTCTCTCTTTTATCTTATTATCTATTTATCTATCACTCTTATCTTACTACATACATTCAACCTTCAATTCAATTTCTGTTCTTATTTTCTCCCAATTTTACTAGGGTTTTAATTATTTACACACTTTTCACGATTAGGCCATCCTAACCCCAATGCTCTGATCACTAATCAATTCCCTTACGAGATACGATTTATTCTTTATTTTATTGATTGGTTTCTTTCTGATCTCAATCAATAATAGCATTTTGCAGCAATGGCGTTTGATCAAAATTCTGTTCCAAAGGATCTGCGCCCATTGAACGTAACTCCGGCGATGGCTGAGGAGCCTCTCATTTCGCCGGCAACCACCACGCCTCCCTCCCCCAACGACCCTTTCTACCTGCCGTCCGCTTCCGATGGGTTTGTATATGGGAACATGGGTTCCAGTCTTGCAGCAACCTGGTGCGTTTGCCCTGGTCCTATTGGGTTTAACTATGGTTCTAGTTTTGGTAACAGGGTTGCGACTGGGAATGCTTTGGATTCGGGCAATTGGGTAGGGGCTAATAATGGCTTGGATAAGGTTACTGTGAATGGTTATGCTTATGGTGGTGCTTTTCGGGGCAATAGAGTCGTTGGCAATGTCAGTGATCCCACTCCTAGCCCTAGCCACCGGGGTGATGATGCTGGGGGTGATTCGGTTTCGGGGAAAAGAGTGAAGTTTTTGTGCAGTTTTGGTGGGAAGATTTTGCCTAGGCCTAGTGATGGAATGTTGAGATATGTTGGAGGGCAGACTAGGATCATTAGTGTTGGGAAAGATGTGAGCTTCAATGATTTGGTGCAGAAGATGGTTAATGCTTGTGGTCAACCTGTGGTTATCAAGTATCAACTCCCTGAGGAGGATCTTGATTCATTGGTGTCCGTTTCCTGCCCTGATGATGTTGAAAATATGATGGAGGAGTATGAAAAATTAATTGAGAGATCCCCTGATGGTTCTGCTAAATTGAGGGTTTTTCTGTTTTCTGCTTCAGAGCTTGAACTTTCTGGTGGGGGACAGTCTGGGGACTCGAAAGATAGTGGGCAGAAATATTTTGATGCTGTGAATGGAATCGCAGATGGGAATGGGATTATTGGTGGAATCACTAAAAAGGAGAGTATTGCAAGTGCAGCTTCAACCCAGAATTCAGATTTGAGTGGGACAGAGACTCTTGATAGCTTAATTGCCGGTCAAGGGGATGTCAGTGGGATGCCCGTGTCCTGTGTGTTATCACCCAAGGAGACTGTGGCAGCTTCTCCTGACACAACTGCAAATTTGGTGGCTTTGGAGCCCAGTGCAGCAGTATACTCAGGTGCTTCTGCTGTTTCAGTGGGCACGCCTGTGGCTAATAGTCCAACTTACACTGCATATTTCCAGAATGAGGTTGAGTTAGAAAAGTCTGTACCTATTACTTTATCCCAGCAGCCATTTGGATTGCAGCAATCTGGAATAGAAATTCAGTCACCTTCACCTTACTTGCAGCCTTTTGTTGATCCGCGCCAGGAGGTTATGAACCATGTAGATTATGTCCATCTGCCTCCCCAGATGGGGTTCCCAAATCCTCAGCTTCTAGGGAAGACTGGGCCTGTCTTCACCCAACAGCAGTTTCATGATAATACTCCCGGTTTAGCATTCCATCAGGTCATCCCTGGAGTACAAATGACAACGACTCAACCATCTTCTTACGTTGGTGTAAGACCGAATGTCATTCAACCACAACCATTGATGCAACCACAGCAAAATCGTTTGGATCAATACAATAATGAAAACACATCAGGGATAAGGATTATCCAGCTTCCTGCTGAACGCAGTTACAACTCATACCAGGTTCCTGTGAGTCAAGTCCCATCTGTCATAGTTGGAGGTAATTATGGCTGGGTTCAGGTTCCTCCACAAGAGCATGTTGTTTTCTCTGATGGGTTATTGCCTAAACAACAAGTAATGATCCCTGAGAAAATCCAAAGAACTGAGGACTGTTCTATGTGTCAGACAAAACTACCTCATGCACACTCAGATCCAGTGGTGCCGGATCAGCATAGTAGTGGTGAAGGTCCAATTCCTGATTCAACCCCAACTTACCATAGTTTCCCAATGGAGGACAATTCAAAAGCTCAAGCAACAAATAGGGTTATGGTGACTGCTGCACCCTTGAAGGAAGGTGTTGTTGAACAAGGTGCTGGGACCAGACCCAGGGTCGTTAGCAAATTAGAACCTCCTGACGAAGTACCTTTTACTGATACAATTGGGCTTTCTCATAATCGTGAGCGACAGCCTGAAGGTGGGAGGATTTTTATACAAAAACCAGACGGGTTTGGCCATCCCAGGGATTCATATATCCAGCAAATGATTGGAAGGGCAGGTGGAAAACAGTCTTCAAGTGATGATCTCATGGGAACAGCACCACTGTCTTATCTAGATGATGTTGTCCACCAGCAGCATATGGTGTCAGTTGAAAACTGGGTTAAACAGGATGTGCTTGTGCATAAACCTGTGAATAATGATATACGTATAGTTGAAAGAATAGATAAACAAACTTCGGAGTGTGTGATTCAAGGATCTCCAAAAGAGCATACTAATGAGCTTACTGGTGTTGTTTCAAAATCAGATGCAGTAGTTAACTGGATTAGTCAGGACCATCTAAAAACTATTGATGGAAGAATGGACATCCTCAAGATACGCAATCCTGAAGGTAATGTAAGTAATGATCACTATTTGCTGCCAGTTGATAAACCTAGTGGGAATGATAAAATAGATTACAACACTCAGCAAGCTGTAGAGGAAGAGGTGATTCTGGATAAAAACTTTGGCAGGCCAAAATTGTTAGTTGATACAAATCAAATTAAGATGACAGGTGTGACGCCTTGTTCTTCTATGGAGATTTCATATGGTCACAATGCCTGGCCGCGGGAATACAACGAGGTTGCACAACCCTCTGTTTGGGGCATTCCTGGTTCAAATCCTCAATCAAAGAGTGGAAACTCCCGCAAGGATGATGCTGCATCATCTTCAATATCACCATCTGCCAGGTTTGGAGATATGCAGGATTCTCCAAACTCACTCTTCAGCAATCAGGATCCCTGGAATATACAGCATGAAACATTCTTTCCACCTGCTAGAGCTAGCAATGCTGCATCGAAGAAAGATACCTGTTCTTATAAGGATCACTTTGGTGAGAATCCAGGCAACTGTGGGGAACAAAATTTAGAAGCACAATTGGATGATGATGGCCTTTGCGGGTCATTCAGACAGAATTTAACTTTAGAACATGCTCAGTTTGCCAAAGGTCTGTTAATTGCTAAAGTCCTAATATATGTAACTTTTTTGCTGATCGATGGTTATGGAGCTCATAGCACAGACTCAATTGTATTTTGGTTTCTTTATTGAAGGCTCAGCAGAAGACCAACAACTTCAAGCTGTTGCTGAAGATGTAGCCGCTTCTGTTTTGCACCCAAATCCTGATTTGCATGCCAGAGGTGTTTCCTGTCGTGAAAACATTGAGGATGGGGATGTTCAAAATAATCTATTAAATGTAAAGTGTAGAGATAAAACTCAGGTGATTTTGTTTGCATATTACTCAGTATTTGTATTATTATCTTCTTTGTCTTGTAGTTGCAGAAACAGTCTCAAAAATAAAATATTTTTTATGTTACTCTCCCTCCAATGCTATTTATTAGTATTATTATAAATATTATTTCCCCCTTTTAGGATGTCAAGAGTAAGCCACCAGAAAAGGCAAATTTTGGCTTTCCACCATCGAATGTTGGAGGATTGCAGGTTGAATGCCTTTCATTGTTTCCTTTTCTATCCCTTTATGCAATTAGCTCAGCCGAGCTAAGACCTTGCTATTGTAACTTTGCTAGGTTATAAAGAACTGTGATCTTGAAGAGCTGACTGAATTGGGTTCGGGTACCTTTGGGACTGTATATCATGGAAAGTGGAGGGGCACTGATGTTGCAATCAAGCGGATTACTGATAGGTGTTTTGCTGGAAAGCCTTCAGAGCAAGAGCGCATGGTCTGTTTCTCGTTATTTGGGGTTCTAATTTCCATATTCTCCTACTCTCTTCAGTGACCAAAAAACTAGCTTACATTGATTCTCGTTTTTTGCATCAAACAGAGAGATGACTTCTGGAATGAGGCAATCAAGCTCGCTGATTTGCACCATCCAAATGTGGTAGCTTTCTATGGTGTTGTGCTTGATGGCCCAGGAGGTTCTGTGGCAACAGTAACTGAGTATATGGTTAATGGTTCTTTAAGAAATGCCTTGCAGGAGTGTGCAAGGTAATGTGTGCATGTACTTATGGGTGTACCTATGTGCATGTTGGTCTCTTAGTTCCTTTGCATTACCCTTATTTCATATGTTGTTGCCATAATGATAAATGTTTGACGCTAATGTGATCTTGTCAGGAATCTTGATAAGCGCAAGCGTCTTTTGATTGCAATGGATGTGGCCTTTGGTATGGAGTACCTGCATGGAAAAAACATAGTACATTTTGATTTGAAAAGTGACAATTTGCTTGTGAATCTCCGAGATCCACACCGCCCAATATGCAAGGTTTAAATGCTTGATACTGATGCGGTCATACTTATATCAGGAATCTTGTTCTGTTGCATCATATTGTAGTAGATATGCATTGCATTATTTTGCATACAAGGAGACATAATTTGCGCACTGCCTTCCATATATGTTTAGGTTCTAATTAATTCAATCAACGTTCGGACATGTCCACTATATGCCACATACTTCTTCTGTTCTGCTGTATTTCAGCAGATGATTAAAGTCTTTGGAATTTGCTGAGGTGGCTTCTCTTGAAGGAGCATGATATGATAGATTTATCACTTTGCTACTTTACTCCGATTTAAGGAATGTGACCCATCAAAAGTACTAAAAATGGCGTGTGATGTTTTAGACTGACTATTTATCCAAAGAATGACTTCAATAAGATATCTGTCAACTTAACAGGGCATAGATTTTACTGGCTGGCTATACTAAATGTTTGGTTAGGCATCATGGATTCTGATGACACAAGTGAATTTATATACAAAAGGAGATAGTCAATAAAAAAACCACTCCTTATTAAACCCCTACTAGTGAGGATAGGAAATCTTTGTACACAACTTTACCCCTGTATATTTGCAAAGTGAGTGTATCCCGAATCCGAACTCGTGACCTTTCAGTCACAAAAGTGCAGATTTACCACTGCTCCATGTTCGTCATATATTGATTAGAAAATTTAGAATAGTTGCTTATATTTTGGTGGGGTTGAGTATTTGTGAGTGCAAATCTGTTGCATAGATGTGCTACATGAGCACAAAACAGAGAATAATGGGTACTCATTTGAAGTTGAGACATGTAGATGCAGATACAGACCCACTTAAAACTAAGGGTATTAAATGTCACCTATGAATGTGTAGGACTAGATTTTCCAGTAAGATTATCTTTTAGGAACTAGTTTGCATGCACCAATAATTTTGCGCTGGATTTAATTAAATATTTAGCTTGCACTAATTTCTAAAATATAGAGATGACTAAAAAGTTACAAGATGGTGTGCAGTTTAGCTGTCTTCTTTTATCAATTTGCAAATTGGAGTATGGTTCTTGTACGAACATTGTGGAGATACATTTTCATCAATAGACCCACACATTCACTTTGTTTCTCATTGGGAGAAAAGAGGTTTACCATTGAAAACATGACTCCTGGGCTCTACTTTATATGCTTTTCTTTGATTGGGAATGATGATGCTGTTATGTTTGCTGTTTCTGTTCTCTTGATAGTTGCTGTGTTTGGATGTTTTTATCATCTTTGGGAACAATGAATAAATTGTGAATATACCACGTGCCATTAGCACATTCATCGATGGCATTTAAAAAGTTGCATCTTGTGATACTTTTTTACCGAAAATAACTTGAGTTGCCCTGCTTCATGCTCAAGGCTGATTTCATACTGGATAAAATTGGGGTGAAAATCTCCGTAAGAATAAAGTTTAAACCTTATTCTGAAAATTGTTCCCAGATCTTAATCTTTTAAATTTATTTCAGTTTGTGTTTTGCACCACAAAGCAAATGGTTCTTGTTCTCTTAGAAGTTATTAGGATTGAAAGCCTTCATATATTATCAGGATTTAATTAATCATGGGGTGGCCAGTTGAATTTGTGTCCTCTTGTTTTAGCTCATCCTCTCTTAGCCTCATTTTTTTATTCTAATTCCATTTGAATGCTCACTTTCATCCTTGGCTCTGTCTTTCTTTTTAAATTATTTTCTGGAATTTATGTCAAGCTGTTATATTGGTTATACCCGTTGGAAATCGAAGATCAAATATTTGGTTAAGAAAAATTTTAGAGGTAAAGGAGGGCTCTCTCACTTTTAATAAAGACCTGGGCCCATTTGAATAGAAAATCTAACAAAAATTAGAAAAAACAAAAACATGACAGCAACAAAAATGTGATCACTATACTGAACTACTAATCCATCTACAAATATAATGTCAAAAGGTCCATACAGGCATGTTCCATCAGTATTTGAACACCCCCTTCACTCAATGATTTAGAATCTGTTCCATTTCTGCAACATTAAGCGCCACCTATTTCTCCTGAGTTTACTTTTAACTGATTTTAGGGTCATCTATATTCTATACTTGCTTTCTGGTAAATACAGCTCTACTTTTAGCATGGAGCAATTGATTATAGATCCTTCAATAGTTTGTTTACTATTTAGACTTTTGCTTCTGATATCAGGTTGGTGACTTGGGTCTATCCAAAGTAAAACGTCAGACACTGATCTCTGGCGGTGTGAGAGGAACTCTACCGTGGATGGCTCCAGAACTGCTGAACGGAAGCAGTAGCCTTGTTTCAGAGAAGGTTTATGCTTTAACTTAATGTGAACGGTTGATGTATTATGATATGATACTCCCTTCATATTTTGTCACTCTTTAAACTTAAAATTTGTGTTTTGCTATTTGTTGTTTTAGGTTGATGTGTTTTCGTTTGGTATTGTGATGTGGGAACTCTTCACTGGAGAAGAGCCATACGCTGATTTGCACTATGGTGCTATTATAGGTAATCCACGGTTTGAATCGATACATATGATTTATCTCGGTTTCAATCATTGAGCAATTGCCTGTGGGTTTTCCAAATATAATTCAGGTGGAATTGTGAGCAACACTTTGCGCCCGCCGGTTCCTGAATCTTGTGACCCAGAATGGAGATTGCTGATGGAGAGGTGCTGGTCCTCTGAGCCATCAGAGAGACCTAGCTTCACTGAGATTGCCAATGAATTACGTTCTATTGCAACCAAGATATCTTCCAAAGGACAGCAAAATCAGCAGCTGCAACACTATTCCTTGCAGACTCAACTCCATAAATAATTTCCCACCACTGCAGGATGCTTAAACCCATATTTCTCTCCACTCTGTTTTTCATTCAATTGAATGACCAATGCATTATGCAATATATATTATAGGGAAGGGAAGGTTTGTTTGTTCAGAAAGATAGTAATCTAAGGTTGTTATGGAGTGTCGGGCCTTTTTTTGCTTTACTGCATATTCTTCTATTCCATCCAACCCTCAATGAACAATATGAAATGTGTCATTTCTGAGTGGCAAAACGGGGGGCTATTTTCCCCATATTTTGATAGTGCTTGTTGAAATGGATATTGTAAAGAGTTTTACCATTTTCACCCGTTGGTATTGTTATTATTACTCCAATTTTTTCAGATCCCCAGTGATTATTGTCCATTCATTTGATTTTATTCATTAATATCGTGTACTGTGCGTAGGAGATGGGTCTCGATCTAAAATCAATTGAGCATGACACCGCGTACAGCATCCTTCGAACTTCCCGTGTGGGTCAACATGAAATTGAATTCTTTTACTATACAATATTAAAATATTAATTCAACATTACTTCACGTCTCTCTCTCTCTCTCTCTCTCTCTCTCTTTTTCCCTCTAGAGGAGGATATTTGCTTGGAACCTTCTAAATAGTAAATTCAAAGTTCAAACATGTCTCCTACGTTTGCTTTGACTTTTCTTCCTTTGATTCCATCTCTTCGTCTAATCCATCACTATAAATGCTTTCTCGATTTTAAACTCGCTTCTAACCTAGTCACACCTAGGAAAACATGGCAGCTTACGAGGGAAGACCATTGGTGATGGAAATGGAACGCGAGGAAGATTTCGAGGCTAGTGGTAGCGGGTGCGGGTGTGGATGCTTTCGGGTTTTTAGCTTGAAATGGTGGCAAGGCCATGAGGAAGAAGGTACACGGCTACTTGAGCAAAAGGGTGAAGGAGGAAGAGGAGGAGGAGGAGGAGGAGAGACATGGGTGGTAGATAAGTTGAAGAAGATGAAGGAGGTTTCAGAAGTGATTGCTGGTCCCAAGTGGAAGACTTTTATTAGAAAGATAGGTGGGCATGGCAAGAAGCAGCACAAGAACAGGTTTCAATATGATGAACATAGCTATGCTCTCAACTTCAACAGTGGGGCTCAGAGCGAAGATGAAGACATGCCTCCCAGTTTCTCAGCCAGGTTTTCTGCTCCTGGACGTCGCCAAAATGAATCATGATACGTGGATCCATGTTCTTTGTTTTTTAAAACATGTTTGATTGCCTATATTTGTTTACGTATTGATAATTTTTTATGTTGTAATTATCGTTCATTACGTAAAGACAATTATTTGTTTGACCTCAACTTTCCTCAACAGCACACAACGTTCAAAGAAACCAGTTGGAGCAAGTCACCAACCAAAAAAATCATTAGCGGGCCTAGTTTAGTTTAAACAATCTTCTCCCTATAACAAAGTTGAAGACCGAAATGAAAAAAGAGGATTTTAATTCTTTAAGACAATAAACACGTAAACCATTAATTTTGAGAATAAAAGTATCGTCTACAAGGAATGATTCCTTACCGAAAAGTTCGGGACAGATGCATACCAAAAGTAAACGCGTTCCACTCAACCATGCGTTCAAAATAGTTTATTCTTTTCCTTTGCTTTATGCCAAATCCTTTCCACTCGCAATTCCTTTTGTTGTAACTTGTAAGAAGGCAATTGGAAATTGTCCCCTCATGCAACTTGGATGGCTATGTAAGACTATAACAAACCTTTAATTTATGATCATTCAATTATCGCTCACTATTACTCAAACTTCCTAATTTTTCCTACAGCTAATATGTATAGGGTGAGGATAAGTTACCCTATCAATCTTAACCGTTGATTTCATTTTATATATAAGGACTCTAATTTTTTAATAATGCGAGCTAATGGATATAAGTGGATCAATGATTAAGATTGAATGTAAGACTTATAACTCTTATATCTGCGTAAGAATAAAAAGTCTTACATCAAATCTTGATTATTGATTTTCTTGCATCAACAAATTAAATATCTAATAAATAAGAACTATTAGATATAAATAATATCAAAGAACCAAATTGAGAAGGTAACGACTCATACATATATATATATATGGGGCATGATCCTTTGACACCGGTGTCAAACTTTAAAATTTAATACCAAATCCTAACCGTTGATTTTCGTCAATCAACGATTATATATATATGAGGTAGGATCATTTGACACCAGTGTCAAATTTTAAATTTGACACCTCATCTAAGAGCCATTAGATAAAAAAAATCAACGACTCTGATTTGTAAGCATGTGACACCATTGATCTTTTTTTGATTTAGGGCTCTCAGATGAGGTGTCAAAGGATCCTACCTATATATATATATATATATATATATATGTCAGGATCATTTTACACTAGTGTAAGTTGCACTCTTAATCTTATCCGTTGATCTCACTTATATCTAAGGGCTCAAATTTTTTAGTAAGAATATGGGGAAAGAATATATATATATGTGGTAGATGGGGTAGGATATTCTTACTCCGGTGTAAGAGTTAGAAGTCTTATATTCAATCTTGACCATTGATCCATTTGTATCCAAATGCTCACATTACTAAAAAATTTGAGCCCTTAGATATAAGTGAGATCAATGAATAAGATTAAGAGTGTAACTTACACTAGTGTAAAATGATCCTGACCCATATATATATATATATGTGTGTGTGTGTGTGTGTGAGATTTACATTTCTGCAGCTGATATACGTGTAGCAGTCAAATACTTGACATATATATACATGAAAGTATTAAATGCGGGGAATCATAACCATATACAAGGTGAAAGAATCATAATCATACATCTGTCACTGCTATACGTAAAGCAGCTGTAAAAATGATTTTACACACACATATAGAGTAGGATATTGTAATAACCAAGTAGGGTTACTACCAATGTTACTACCAATAATTTCACCGTTAGATTGGTTTTTTGATCCGACGATCCTAATTTGATACTTATATACCCCCTTCTCTCTCTTCCCTTCTCTCTATGGCTATCTCTCTACCGACGCAGCTGCCCATAGCCAATGTAATTGCCATTCAAAATCCAATCCCTCAAGTTGGAAACACCATTACTTGAGTAAATGAGTGCAAGAAACATTAATCAATGTTAATAAATTATTAATCTGGCTCAAAAACATGGAGAGACCACCGTCATGATTCAATGCCTTTATTAGAAATCACTTAATAAACTAAGAGTCATTCTCGTCCTTATTGACAAACAATAAGTTCTCAGGCTTCAAGTCCCTATACATCACTTCCATGGTGTGATAGTTATGAACCACCGTCACGATCTTCCGGCACAAGAAATCTTTATTAGAAATCATGGATTAACGACGACGGCGAGATGGTAGGGTGTGGCGGCGCAACAGAGGCTATGGACAGCGACGACAGCGACAGAAAGTATAGCCAAAGAGAGAAGGGAAGAGAGTGGGGTATATAAGGATCAAATCAGGACCGTCGGATCAAAAAACAATCTAACGGTGAAATTATTGGTAGTAACATTGGTAGTAACCCTACTTGGTTGTTACAATATCCTACCCCACACACACACACATATATATGGGCTTATCATTTCTCAAGCTGTCAGAGATAATTTTATCTCCGGCTAATAAATCATAACCGTACAAAGATGGATCAATGCTAATGAAGGAGGAGAGAGAAAAAGGGAATCATAACCATTCAAAGGTGAATCAATTAATATAAGGAAATAAATAAACAAAATGACGTAGTTTTAGAGTGGCCGGAGATAAACTTATCTCAAGTTGCTGGAGAAATATTTTTCCCTATATATATATATAGGGGAAGGATATTGTGACAACCAAGTTGTGTTACTACCAAGTGACTACCAATCAATCTTACCGTTAGATCGATTATGTTGATCCAACGGTTATATTTATTTTCATCTTTGAATGGTCATGATTCCCCAAATTTAATACTTTATATTTATTTTCACCTTTGTATGGTTATGATTTCCCATATTTAATGCTTTCACTTTAAATATGGGGAATCATGACCATACAAAGATGGAAATAAATATAACCGTTGGATCCACATAATCGATCTAACGGTGAGATTGATTGGTAGTAACACAACTTGGTTGTCACATTATCCTTCCCCATATATATATATAGGGTTCACTTTTTCAACAGTCAATGTAGATAAGTTATCTACATTGAGCCGAAAATGACGTCGTTTTGAGGCGGAAATCAAGGTATTTTTGTAATTATAATTTATTTCAGGGTTATAATAGTCTTTTTTATTATAATTTTTTAATTTTTCAACCCAGAACGTAATCGTTTTGGGAGCGAATGTAAATAATTTATCTACATTCACTGTAGAAATATTAAAGCCATATATATATATATATATATATATATATATATATATATATATATATATATATATATAGGTTAATCACTTCTAGAACTACTTTAAATAAAGTTGTCTACAGCTACCCCTTTTTAACTAAGTCTGACCAGTAAGAGTGTAAATGGGCTAGGCCGGCTTATTATAAATAGTAAAATAGAACAAGTCTAGGCTTTTAAAGAAACCTATTTCTAAAACAGGCCATAAGTTTTTTTTGTACATGTCGGGCCTATAAGCCTACAGGCCGGCCTATATCATTTTATTTATTTAAAATATAATAAATAAAATAATTATTTTAATAATTTTGAATAATAAAATAATATTATTTTGGTTATTCTTTTAATTGTTGAATGTTTAATAGGCTTAAAAGAACTAACAAGCCTAGGTCAAGGCTTTTATTTTTTATATATAGGTCAGACCGGACTTGTAATTTGGGGCCTACACAGACTAATAGGCCAGGCCATATCCAATGTTTTTTGCACAGGCCTGGCCTATTTAACTCAAAACTTAGCCTAGCCTATTTACACCCCTACTGACCAATAAGACATAAAAATTGCATTTTCTCTCTCTGCCACGTCAGCCGACAATGTCTTAGGAGAGAGAAAAAAGAACAGTTTTATTGTTATAACTATGTCTTATATATAAATGGCCACAAGCTTATCATTTATAAGCTGCTTGAGATAACTTTATCTCCGACTACAAAATCACAACCGCACAAAGATGGATCTATAGTGTGATAAAGGAAGAGAGAGAAAAAGTGAATCATACCTATTCAAAGGTGAATGAATTAATACAAGGAAATAAATAAATAAAAAGACGTAATTTTGGGGTGGACGAAGATAAATAAATCTCAAGCTGCTTGAGAAATGTTTTTCTTATGTATATATATATGGGCAATTATTTTCTCTTTTTAAATAAGACAATTTTTCTCCTACTAGTGACTCACGGCATAAGTGGGTCCCACCTTAATTTTTTTTCTCCACTATTTTATAGACCTCACTTATGTCATTAGTCACTAGTAGGAGAAAATATTTTCTATATATATATATATATATATATATATATATATATATATATATATAGGGTTTTCTTTTTCTACAGTCAATGTAGATAACTTATCTACATTGAGTCCAAAATGACGTCGTTTTGATAGAGAAATCAATGTATTTTTGTAATTATAATTTATTTAAGGGTTATAATAGTCTTTTTCATTATAATTTTTTTAATTTTTCAACCTAAAACGACGTCGTTTTGGAAGTGAATGTAGATAACTTATCTACATTCACTATAGAAACATTAAAGCCATATATGTATATATGGGCTTATCATTTCTCAAGCTGCTTGAAACAATGTTATCTCCGGCTACTAAATCATAATCGTACAAAGATGGATCAGTGGTGTTAAAGGAAGAGAGAGAAAAAGAAAATCATAAGTTCATAATCATTCAAAGGTGAATCAATTAATATAAGGAAATAAATAAACAAAACAACGTAGTTTTGGGGTAGCCGGAGATAAATTTATCTTAAGCAGCTTGAGAAATATTTTTCATGTATATATATATATATATATATATATATATGTATATATATATATATATATATATGATCAATTTACACTTGTATAAGAATAATAAGTCTTATATCAAATCTTAACAGTTGATTTTCGTGCATCAAATGATTCAGATTTATTGGGTCTCACTCATTAATTAATTATTTATATCCAATAAATCTCAATGCACGAAAATCAACGAGTGAGATTTGATGTAAGACTTATTATTTTTTACACCAGTGTAAAAAGATCTTGCTTTTATATATATATATATATATCAACTGCAAAAATGACAACCCATGTATATATATATATATATGTGTGTATATATATATATATATATAGATATATATATATATATATATATATATATAGGGCTTATCGTTTCTCAAGCTGCTTGAGATAACGTTATCTCCGGCCACTAAATCATAATCGTACAAAGAAGGATCAATGGTAATAAAGGAAGAGAGAGAAAAACAGAATCATAACTAATCAAAGGTAAGTCACTTAATATAAGCAAATAAATAAACAAAACGACGTAGTTTTGGGGTGACCGGAGATAAACTTATCTCAAACTGCTTGAGAAATATTTTTCCCATATATATGAAAAAAAAATTCTCCGACAGCTGGCAACTCCAAAACTACGTCGTTTGTTTATTTATTTCCTTATATTAATTGATTCACCTTTGAATGATTATGATTCTCTTTTTCTCTCTCTTCCATTATCACCATTGATCTATCTTTGTACGGTTATGATTTAGTAGCCGGAGATAAAATTATTCTCCGACAGCTTGAGAAATGATAAGCCATATATATATATATCCAAATAATTGCAACAAAATCATTTTTTTCTACGAGCCATGTGCATTATTGTCTATGAGTATATATGTGTGTGTGTGTGAGGTATATCTCGATTTTAATATTAGTAAATATCATTGATACTTGTGGCTTTTTTTTTTTATACAGATACTTATGGCTTTTGATTGAGGTTCAAAATAGTAATCAACTAATAATAGTTACATATATTTACACTTACATATAAATTATGTATTTATTGAATAACAATTTTGATCATATTGTAACTTTGTTCTAAAAATTTATAACAATGCAATTATTAATTTTCAAAAATTATTTAACCGCCTGAACCGAGTAGAATCATCTAAAAAAGTTATACATGATTAAGGGCCTGTTTGGATGGCTTTTTTTTTACCCAAAAGCTGTTTTTTTTCCAGAAAAAAAAGAACTTTTATTATAAAGTATATTTGGATGTCTGTTTAAAAAAAAAGCCAAAAATATGTATTTTTTAGAAGCTAAAAATTTTAGCTTATAAAAAACGCAAAAGTCAAAAATTAAATATTTTTTTCAAAAATTTTAATAGCTTTAACTTTTGTAAAAAAAATACTTAAGGCATAAAATTCATTTTTTTACAAAACCGTATCAATATATCTGAATTGTACAGTGCACCCCACCTCATACATACGATCAATACCATAATTTTGGCATAAAATTGTTACCAAAATTTCTACTACTGCTGATCAAGAACAGAATAATATATAATTATGGGAAAAATTATATTTATAAATTTTTTGTTTATAAATTCTTACAAATTACATTATATATTACATTTCAACACACAATATACTATCCCAACTACATAATGTAGTTTGTAAAATAAAATTATAAATATAACCCTTTCTTACCAGGGAAATCAGCAAACTTAATTCCTCTCCTGCTCTCACTATAAAAAGCCGTGCGTCCAATTTTTAGTTTTTTTTTTGCTTTTATAGTAGGTGGGCTCCATCGTTTTTTCTATCTGCTAAAAATGGTTTGTTCCCGTAGTATGGTTTGTTCCCGAGGAGAGCCATAAACCCATTCTTATAATTATAGTCGTTATGTTTTTGATGGGTAAGACGAATTTTTTTTTCTTTTCTCAATAAGTATCATCACAGTCATAATAGTATACCTTTTTATTGTGCCCAATTTTTTTTTCTTACTTTATATTATTTTGTGTCATCTTATTCCAAAATCACAAGAGCTTTCACTATTCCAGATATATGCCGGTAAGGCCACACTACTCTAGATGTTCCACCGCAAAACGTTCAATGTATATTTGATAACGTAGAGTACTGGCAACCCAATAACTACAACAGTTGTGTGTAAGGAATTGAAATGACGGTTTTTTATTACATTTAGCATTTGTTTTGGGTTACTATACTTGAAATGCTAATTCTAATAATAATTAAGAATACAAAATTTTAAAGATTTATTTTTCCATAATGTTTTAAATAAGTAAAAATATATATATGTATCAGCATGCTACCCATTAAATCGAATAGATTGTGGTGCCTGCATCAATATATCGAGCAGCAGCCTCATATACAACAATGACTAGGGTTTTCTGTAATGAAACCAATACTTTCTTTCAACAGTGATATATATATATATATTATCATAAATTCCCCTTTTACATCCAGATTCCATCATTTCACGTTCAAGCTGGACGGTAAGATCTATGAATCTCACGAGCATGCATAAAATGACGAAGAATGCCAATAATTTTTTTTGTTCAAAACATGCGTGACCATTCACATGAAGCTCTGGTTACTGGTTTCCCCTGCACTACAACCATCCAAAAATAAAACTCAGCATATATATAGTCATAATAAAGATTAGGAAATTTTTTTAAGCCGTGCAATTTTATTTCATATATAACTTATTCCGTCACACTATTAGAATCGCTGATAAAATCTAGTAGCTAGTTATATAGAGTTAAATAAATTATATATCAAGAAAAAATTTAGAAGATAAATAAAATAAAATAAGTTATATCAATTAAAAAATTAATTTAACTAAGGATGTATTTATTTAAATAAGGTATCAATAAAAAATTAAATGACAGGATTAAAAAGTTTCACCTTAAAAGTACATTAAAATTAGAGTCTTGTATATTAGCAATTGAAATTTTATGTAAATATATTTCATGAATTATAACATTTAGGCATTAAGAGTTTTTTTTCTTTACAAAAATAAAAATAAAAAATCCTTTAATATATATATATATATTATTTGGAAGAAGTAACTATTAAGCTACCTCTTGCGCTTGCTTTTGGAGTTACTAGACGATGTGGAGCTAGCATGCCAGTTCCTTTTCCTTTGATTGATGAACCAGTTATTTATCTGCTTTAATTGCAAGCCTGTTTCCTGCACCAATCTAGCCTTGTCTTCCTCCTGAAACAATGTTCACAAGTGCAACCCAAAGTATATATGATCAGAAACCAATATAGACACACACACTACACATATATATATACCAGGCAAAATATGAATGTATTATGTATATATATAATATGTAGTAATTAATGTCTAAACATACAGTAGGGTAGGGCCATTTAGAATGTGATTGCCACCAAGCTTTCAAAAGGGACGTGGTGTCCCCTGGTAGCTTCCCAGCTCGTCTCTTTCGTAGAATTTCTTCTCTTATGTCCACAATCTTCTCCTTATAACCCTGAGAGAGGAAGATATATATATATATATATATGAAAAAGTTATTCAACTTCTACCATTGTACTTGCTGTGATCAGTATATATAATATGTTGATGTTAGGAGACTAACTACCTGTTTTAACTCGTGCTTCAACTCATGCCTCACTCTCTCCATCAAAGATTTTTCAGTCTCAGTGGGGACAAGAGGACCAAAGCCAAGACTATCACCACCATCAAAGCTTCCTTCGTATAAGTTGGCATTGCTCTCTGCCTGGTCATCTTCATCGTCTGACATTGTTGCACCCGTTCCTTCACCAGGAGATACACCTGCTACCCTCATGCATCTTAATTACTTTTATTTCTTTGCTAAAGAACATTAAAAACACAATATAAAAAACCACAATTCGAGCCTCATATCAAACTCGTGAAACATTGAAATTTTGATAAGACACCCTTAACCTAACTTTCTTCTTTTGCTTTCTATATCTCTTTTATATTATTCTGCAATGAAAGAGATAGAGACAATTCTGTAGCTGCATGTATTGTTTATACCTATAAACTTTGGGCACATGAATGATAATTATTAGTGTTTAAACTTTGTTTGTATTAGAAGTCTAAGATAGCACTTAACTTGGGGGCACATCTAGAATTTTAACGCTCGTATATAAATGAGAATTATTAGTGTTTTAATGTCTGTAGACTGTAGTATTAGAATTGTATGAAAGCACGCATGCATATAACACTAGATAAACAATCAATTATTGCATGTTAATTTGTATAATTTTTTAGTAGATTGTATTTCAATAAAATAATTACTTTAATTTATATTAATTATCACTCTTTTGAATTCACAAGATTTATTTATTTTAAAACTTTAAATACATTTTTCTTAATTTAAATATCAAGGTAATAAGATAAATCTTTTATTTTTGAAAAATTTATACTGATAGAAATTTATTTTACTTCTATAGGTGATAAGTTTGTAAGTGGATATATATGTTATTTTGCTTATTTTCTTTTATTTATTAAGAATATTTTTAGAAAAGTTAAATTCCTAAAAATATTTCACTTGAACTTTTCCATCATTCTTATTCGTGGCAGGAAACTACAGGAATGTAATATATTTATTCTTTTTTTATAAAAAAAAATTCCTTACACCAAACATCACATAATTAAATTCGTGTCATGTTCGAATGCCATCAAAGGAATGAGTGAAGGAGATAAATTTTTGTATGGGGGAAGCTACACGCGGTGAGTTGTGTGGTCTTCAATAATCGTTCTTTTGTCTCGTATTTCTTTTCCCTCAAATTTTTTATGTCTTTTTCTTTTTTTTTCGTTGTTCGAATGCCATCAAAGGAAAAACACAGTAACATTTAGTAAAAGAATATAACCCAAGGTAGCTCAATTGGCAGCTAGCTCCCAAGGGATTCCTCAAGCAGTTTCTTGGAAAATTTTTGGGGGCCAGAGGATAAGCCAAAAATCTTCGGTTAGGGGATTAGTCTCGTCCTTTCTTCGGTTGCGAAGCTTAGTGCACGGGTCGTACCGAAGGCATGGTGCCCGGAGAAGGTTGAATGGGGATACCTCTTGGCAATGTACCAAAAAAAAAAAAAATATTTTTGGATGAGGAATAGGGTATCCGCGGTGAGTTGCATGTGTGTTCATTCTTTTACTTTTTATTTTTTCCCCTCAATTTATTTATTTATTTGTTTTTTATTATTATACAACGGTGACACTGAAATTTTTGAACATAAGACCTCATGTAAATTAACCAAACCCCTCGTTACTAGATTAATACTAGTGGATTTCCTTGTTTTGTTTACATACTAAGTAATGAGTGTGAAAAACACAGTAACATCTTGGAAAAGAAGATTTTTGTGATTTACCTGTCAAGCTTTGGAGAGACTGCTCGAGATCCCAACAAGCCATCACAGCTTCCATGGCATGAACACGGACATGTTGTTGCAATTGCTCCTTGAAGGCACACAGCAACAGAACATAATGCGTCTACAACAAACAAATTAAGGAGCAAATCTTAAATAAATGTCTCAACAAAGTTCATGAAATATTAGGAATAACGTTTCCATCATGAATAATATACATTTTTCCTCGTTCCAATCTTTGTGTGAAGTGGGATATCAACACAGAATCAATGTTGAAAATCATGAACATAGAGTTGATTGAATGCCATACACACTAGAGGACAAATACTATAACCGGTTGGTACGTAGAGAGTCACCAATACTGTCCCATACCCTCTTATTATTGTACTTGGACAAGCCAGAAACGTCCATTCATGAGGGAGTAAAGGTCGAGAAAACTTGGTGAGAGTTTCATTCAGAACATATTCTATAAGTATTCAAGAACTGAACCATCCAAGTTTCGGCAAAAAGAGAAAAAGAAATGAACAATTAATCCAACAAGTGGGAAGACAATGATAGCATTAACAGAATTAAAGATTCCATAAAGCACTCTCAATCCCAAAGGCTGTGGCATTATTGAAGGGATGAGCACCATGAGATTGAGAACCCTCAACCGGAGCCATTCCATGACAAATCAGATTCACTCACTGACTCACTCACTTTTATGAGTCAAACGCCTTGTGCTATATCATCCATAAAAATAAAAAAAGTTGAAAACCCAAACATACCCATAAAATAATCATAATCTATTTGTGCTAGCTATTGTTCTTTAAAGCACAAGCTCCACAAAATCAGGAAAGGAAGGTCTAGGATTAGCGGAATAAGAGGGAAAAAAAAAGAGAAACACAAAAGGGTTGACATCTATGATTTAACAAGAGAGCATGACCAAAATATAAAAAAAAAGAAAGAAAACATTTGTGAATACACGAGGGATTGATAAAACCGTGGAAATGATGCCCAAAACCAGAAGGAATCAAAGCTCACAAGCTAAACAAAGAAACAAAAACAGGTGGGCTTAAAATTAAGATTATTTGAGCTATTTAGCACTCCTCCAAGGACAAGAATATTGAAGTATATATAAAAGAGAAGGGTTTAATTTAAGAATAGGAAGACAAACCATAAACTGATCAAGCTCCTTCTCATTAACCACTCCATTTCCAAGAGCAGAGTATTTTTCCACCACGCGCTGCGACTGTTGCAGCTGAGCATCGATCCTCGGAAGCTGGTCAACGGGGGTGGCAATCCTAAGACATGAAACATGAGCTGATAAGAGCTGGTCGTAAAGGGGGTGTCCCAAAATGTCAGCTTTGTATTCCCTTAAATCCTCGGATTCACAATTTCCATGATCGCTCTGGTTCCGATCCATGCTTTTCTCGGTCGTGTGATCCGCTTGCAAGTGCATGAAATTCTGCTGACGGTGATGTCCAGCGTTATTAACGTTGTTGAGCCATGTCGGCGGCACCCTCTGCTGCATATCTCTATTCTCAGTTAACTGTTGCTCCTCCGTGAAACGCTGAAAAGCTATTTCGTGGTTGAGATGGTCGTGAAAAGCCATTTAATTATTTACTTAACTAACCCTCTTTTTTTGTTTTTTTTTTCTCACTACATTTTAATGGATTTGTTTCCAGTGAGATTGAAACACGGCAAGGAAAACATAAAGGTGAGGATTTGCAGTGTGAAAAAAACACGGTTCAGAAGAGAAGAAAGAGGTGAGGGTGGTGGTGGTTTTTGTTGTTGTTGTTGCTGCGTGGTGAGAGGAGTGGCAGGGAAGGGGAGGAAGGAAGGAAGAAGAATGAAGAGATTTGGAAAAGTGCTTTTTAAGGAAAGACTTTTGGAAAGGTTAACACAGAGATCGAGAAGTGGGAATGATCCAACGGTGGGATTGGTGATAACGTGGAGTGATTGGTGCTGAATGTTCATTGGAGTTGAGTTTTCTTTGTAATAAAGACAAAGATAGATTGAACAATAACAATGTTGTGGGAGGCACCTACATGACATTATTATTGTTATTGTTAAATTACATTACACGTATTATATATATATATAAAATAATATAATTAATGATACATTGGTTGAATAAGAGATTAAGAATAAACACTATTATTTAGGTTGACGTGTTGCTTTTTCTTTAGAGATTTGAGGAATCACGATAGCAAATTTTTTTTATTTTTTTTGGTTCGTGCACAAAAACAGAAAAGGGTAATATTTTTGGTATAAAAATGGGTGATTGATTGTATTATTGTATATAGGGTGAGGCTAAGTGCAATTGTAGGGATTGGGACGAGAATAGTAAGGAAGGTAGCTTGGAGGTCCAGCAAGGATACCTTTCGAGTGTTGCTGGCAGATATTTACTAGTTAGTGCTTTGGGTAAAAACTTTATGGTTGGAAGTGACAATTTACTTTTCGAGTTTCTATCCTCTTTAATCGAAAATATACTTAGGTGTGTGTGTTTTGTGTTGTGTGTGTGTGTGTGTGGGTGTGCTGGGGTAGGCGTCGTTTTCGTTTGTGGAACAGTTTTATTAGGGTAGAATGGTTCAGTGTCAGGGGACCCCAGAAACCCAAAACGACGTATCACAGGGAGAGGTAGTGGCAGTGGCTGTGAGGCCCACAACTGACCAGACTAGGCGTTGGCGTTCCTGAACTTGGGCTGGCCACTACCCAACCCGACAGCGACCTCAGCACCCACGACCGACACGTGTCATCCCCAGGATTCATGGACCACAAACGTTGTACTCGGATTGCGGGCCTAATAGGGAGTGAATCAGGTTCGTACACATGGCGCCTCTTGGGCAATTAGAGTGTGGGCCCCGCAGGCATGATGGTGCATCCCGGTGCATGCATCGCTTCTATTGGCATTATTCGCCATTAGGATCAGAGAAGAACGAGACAAGGACCTGTTCTCTCAATTGTGAGAATAATTCTCCTCTTAAAATAAAATAACATTTGTCAATTCAACCAAAATGTGAAACATTGTGATTCTTTTAATAATAAAATATAAATCGTTGAATATCTCTCTTTTATGATAATGTAAGGAGCAGAACAGTAAAGGCTAAGGTGCTGTCAGCAGAGGTGACAATGGACGCACACACAATTCATAGGCAATTATTTTGTGCTTCCGTAATTTATTTATTTATTTTTTAAAAAGAAGAGAAAACAAAAGAGGCTTTATTGGGGTTGGGCCTGAAATGAGCGATCGTATCTGGCTAGCCCAACTAGTCGGATTAACTTAGCCCAACTTCCATTCTCACACAGGAAAAAGGCTAGAATGCTGGAAATGCGTATTTTCAGAAACATTTGCTTCTGTGGCTCAAATTGACACTATGCGAATGCTTTTGGTCATGGCTGGCTGCACACAAGGGCTGGAAAGTGTTTCAATTGCATGTCAAATCAGCATTTCTTAATGGGATTTTCTAGGAGGAAATTTACGTTGAGCAACCAGAATGATTTCCTGTAGAAGGGTATATATGAAGACAAGGTTTATTTGCTGAAGAAATCCTTGTATGGTTTGAAGAAGGCTCTAGCGGTGTTTGTTTCAAGTTTTTGAAGAGGATTACCGGTAATCCTTCTTTGATAAATGTAATTACCACGTTTAGTAGAAGGAATAAATTACGATTCCCGGATATCCAAGGATTACCGGTAATTTGATTTATAAAGAAAAGTCACTATTCAGATTACCAAAAATAATATGGTCAGAATACCAATCAGAATACCAAGCAAAGGGAAAACACAACAATAAATTTTGAGACAAAAATACTCTAATACACATAAAAATCTAGACCCAATCTATCAATTACAAAAGTAAATATAGTTTGAGGTTATTTTTGTAAAATAACCTCATATTCCAAGTCATATTTCGTTCTAAACCAAATATGGAATCAATAATTTTTACCCAATATTTCCGGTAATATTTTGGCGAACCAAACACCTCTTTCGTAAGATTCCAAGTAAACTCAATTTCTACTGCATTCCCATTAATCATGATTCCCGGTCACCAAAAAATTTCTCTTATACCAAACACACCCTTAGGGCCTATTATACCATATAATAGATCAACATTTGTTGAGTCATGGCTTCACATAGACTCTTAATGAGTCAACACTCTATGTTAAGAAAAGAAAAGTTGATATTCTGATTTTATCCTTCTATTTGGATATTTTTTGGTGACAGGAAATAATTCTAAGCTCATTAATCAATTCAAAACTGAGATGATGGAGAACTTTGAGATGACTAATCTTATGTAGATGTCACAATCTAGCAGACACAGCGGCGGACCCAGAAATTTTTATTGAGGGGGGCAAATTTTTTTTTAATTATATATATGTACCTAATATAAAAGGTTTGAAAGAGATTTATTACAAAATTCAAGGTTAATTCACTTAACTCTTGCTCTACGTTTTTTTTCATATTATTAAACTCTTCTATAATTGAATTTGTGCTAAAATTCAAAACAATTTCTTTTTCAACATATGTAATTAAAGAATCATCAAGAAATTGATTTTTCATTCAATTTTGAAGTCTGGTCTTGATTTTCTTCCATTCGATAATGGATGCGAGCTTTTTTCCTTCTCCAATATTTAGCTCAAAAAATTGGAATCTCTGTTTGTGTGTTTTGCTATTGTCTTCTTTCACAAAGATTTTCGCCACCCTCTTGATAATCACGTGTGTCTGATTTTGAAATTTTTTCTTGAGCTCTAAAAGTTTGTTCCTTCCTTTGAAAAAAATTACAATTACAATTTCTAAAGTTGTGTTTGTTTAAGATTTTTTTGAATTTTCAGCCCAATTATTTAATTTTTTTAGTCTGAAATTATTTTTTTTCTGCCCAAAATTATATATATATATAATAAAAAAAAATTCTTAAAATCAGGGAGGGGCGGTGGCCAACCCTAGCCCCTCCCCTGGGTCCGCCTATGAGCAGACAGATTCGGGAATTTTTACCTGTCAGAAATAATAGGTTAAAAGATCTTAAAGTCCATATGAGCATATGCAAGGCTATCAGTACTCCTATGAATCAAAAAGAGAAGCTCAACAAAGAAGATAAGTCTTGAAAAGTTGAAGAATTGTTTACAAAAGCTTGGTTGGAAGCTTAATGTATCTCAAATTTACTAGGCCAGATAGTTTGCACTTGCAGGCAGTTAGTGTTCTTTCCAAATTCCTGCATTGGGCAAGTGAGGAGCATCTCAGGGTGCCAAAAAGGGTGCTAAGATATGGACAAAAAAAATTAAAATAATGTTTTTTAATTAAATAATTATGTATTTATTGCAATTTTAGGAAAAATTACAAATCTATTGCACAATGTGACGCTTCTTTTGGGCGTCACCGCGTCTCACCCTAAGGGGAAGATGCCCAAATGGGGTGTCTCTCATGAAGTGTTGACACGTGTCACTTTTTTTTTTTTCAAAATAAAAATTAATTTAATCATAAAACTTCTAAAAGCCATAACTTTTGACTCGAGTATCCAAATCAAGTCATTCTTTTTTTGATTCCACATAACTTTTCGAGATCTATGCAATGACATTTCATTTGACATATTTTATTTCTCACAAACACAATTTTAATTTGTAAAAATAGTATTATAAGAGCGGTTAAACCCAGAAGCCTCTGAGTTCTGGATTTGTGATTTAATATAAAATAAATAAATAAAATTTTGATTTGTGATTTAAATTTTTTTATAATAATTTTTTTTATTATAACAAAAATTTGGTTTGTGATTTAAATTCAAAATAAAAATAAAAATTGTTATTAATAAGAAAACAAAATAAAGATTTGATTTGTGATTTAAACTGAAAAATCAATTTGAAAAATCTGTAGAAATAAAGGAAATAATTAAATAAATATTCTAAATTTCTAAGGAAGAAGGATATTATTTTTAAAATTAATGATTATTTTTAAAATTTCGTGGTTTAAAATTAATGATGGCTTATAAATTTTTTCAAAAATAAAATTACCTAAATTAGGCGTTATTGCCTCTTGATTGAAACCCAATTTAGACGTGATTGGTGATGTGTTAGGTTTTGACACGTGTCACATTTTTAAACTCAGAAGCCTCTGAGTTCTGCGTTTGTGATTTAATACAAAAAATAAATCAAGATTTGATGTGTGATTTAAATTAAAAAAATAAATTTTTTTATTTTTATTATAAAAAAATTTGGTTTGTGATTTAAATTAAAAGTAACAATTATTATTAATAAGGAAAACAAAATAAAGATTTGATTTGTGATTTAAACTCAAAAATCAATTTGAAAAATCTGTATTAATAAAGGAAATAATTAAATAAATATTCTAAATATCTAAGGATGAAGGATTACCTGATTTAAATTTAAATTATGTTGGTGAGAAATAAAATATATCAAATGAGATGTCATTGCGTAGATCTCGAAAAGTTATATGGAATCAAAAAAAGAATTACATAATTTGGATACTCGAGTCAAAAGTTATGGCCTTTAGAAGTTTTATGATTAAATTAAATTTTTTTTTTTGGAACAAAAAAGTGACACGTATCAACCGCTCATGAGTGACGCCCCATTTGGGCGTTTTCCCTTAAGGTGAGACGCCTCAATGGGGCGTCACAATGTGTAATAAATTTGTAATTTTTCTCAAAACTGTAATAAATACGTAATTATTTAATTAAAAAATATTATTTTAATTTTTTTTCTTCTAAGATATGTCAAGGGGACCGCTAGCTGTGGAGTCATATTCAAGAAGAATCAATATTTTGATTTTCATGGTTTTTCAGATAGCATGTTGTTACTCGTTTTTTAATTTTGCCTTGATTAGATAGACAAAAAATTTGAGAATTAAT